CAATTTAAGATTTTTTTTTCTCAGGTAAATCCAGAATGATATCTGTCTGTCTTTTTACACAGATGGATCAGTCTCTGTGCAATCTTGTGCAATCAGATTAACGATGGAGCTCATTGGTCACTAACGATTTACAGACACAATTACATTTCTCTCACCTCAGATTAGAAGAATTTAGTGCTTCACTCCTTGATTCTGCATCAACTTGAGATTTTTATTTACATTTTTTGTATTATTTTTACCTGTTTTTTTGTCTCATAAGCAGCCATATTTGTTTAGATATGGGTGGATCATGCTTGTCCCTGACTGGCTAAACCATCTGTCATGCTCATCTGTAAACGGGGAGAGTCACTGGTCTCACATCTTCATATATTATTGAAGAAGTGTGTATTCTGGATTCCAGGGGGGTTTATATTTCAGTCATATAAAAATTCTAATAAAACTTTTTGTAGCTATACTTTATAGATAATATCAGTGGAGTTATCAAGTTGAACATGAATTACTTACTCTTTTTGTTGCACTGAAGCACATTTGGAAATAGAATGCAAAGAGTAAATAAAAGCCCCAGGTGATATTTTTAAAGCACTAATCTGTTTTTGCAACTGAAATCTTTCTATCTTTATTTAAACCTCAGCACACTAGTGCTTTTTTCAATTGCTTTGTGAGTCTAGTTCGCCTCTGCCTGTATTTGCCTGTGTACACTGGTCCTGTAGGAGCTGGGCCACAGCAGTGCTGGTGCATGTGAGCCTGATGTCTTAATGGAACACAGCGGTGGACAGCCGCTTGTGACAGTGTGAAATGAGAGTCCACTTGAGCCATTTTGTCTTGCTGTGTTCAGCTGTAAAAAAACAAGTGATCCTCTTGGGCCTGTTCCTTTTGGGCTGATGAGATATGATTTGACTTGTTGGCGGATGTTTATTCTGCCAAGTCAGTCCAGTAGTGAGCAGGCACGAGGCAGGAGGCGGTGGACAGTGTGTGTGAGGAAAAGGAGGGCTGCTGTCGCCTCTCCGATCCAGGTGACTGCGAACATGGCACAGAGACACGCACCACGACTGTCAAGATGCTGCTCTGCTGATATTAAACACAGCTCTACATCTCACCTCTGCACAGGTCCTGAGGCTCGCTTTGCATCACACGAGAAAATGCACTAAAAACTGGACTTGAGTACATTGCACTAATGGCCCAAGTCACCCCTATAAAAACTTTTCACGGCTAATAAGCAACAAATTGGCCACATTTAATTAACTTGGGAGTTTTTAGGGATGTCGGGCTGTTGCTGCTTTTTAATATTTTAAATAGGCCTGTATTATAGCATAGGGATATTTGGAGAGCTGAACAATAATGAACTGTATTTACTCATTTACTTTTACTTTTTGGTTTCACTTTTACTTTTACTTCATTAACAATATATAATAAAATAAGAACCTTGGCACATTATGTATTGAAATCAAAACATGAGATTTGGAAATTATTTTTGCAAGCATTAACCACATTGAAGATGACCATTTATTTGGAAACTCAACAAGCCTAGATTCCAAAAACAAATTTAACCATACAATTAAAATAGTAAAAAAAAATAAATAAAAAAAAGGAGCCAGAATGCCCAGCAGCCCCAGCCAGGCATGAACGATGGGGCATTACTGAGGCGATTAGCAGTACCAAATTCAATTAATCTTGACAAATCTCCACAGAGGCAGAACGGAGGAGTGAGACGCACCCACTCTCCTGGTAATTAAAAGTGGGTGCGCGAATGGCAATGGGTGCGACGATGGTGACTAACTTAAGGGATGATCAACTCCTTCTGCAGCTCCGGGTGTCAGCTCGTATTTAGTTTGTCAGAATGTCAAGTCCCAAACTAGTTTCTTCTTCCAGTTATTCGAAGAGTGACAGAGGACAGAGGTAATGAGCTCTTCTCTGTCACCTCACACAACCACGGGGATCAGGTTCCAATTTTCTAAGTCCGCGCCGTACTTTGGAGACAATCAACAAAGTTTTTTTTTCCCCCAAACAATGTGAGAGGGGTGAAAAATGCAAGTCAGCAGCTATTTAATCATCCTTTTGATTGCTTTGTGCCGAATGAACAAGCTCCCCGGAGCAGCAAAGAACGCAAGGCTAGAATGCACAAACAGGAGATGCGGAAAGAGTACCAAAATGTTGAGTCGAAAGAAAAAGTTATGTAGGCCAAAAATACTTAATCACAAGAAACAATACAAACTAATCTGATAGAAAACAACATAAACACAAATTACTTAGGTTGTTCATGTTGAATATAATATAACATTATGACTCTAGCGTCTCCCTCTGTGGACCAGACTTCATTTAACACCAAATATCACTTCTGAAAATACCAAAAGATCCAGAAGTACCACAAGATCTAAATAAAGTCTATAACTTGACTATACCAGGTCTAAACACAGACAAAATTAGGACTAAAATTGAAGTAAATCATGACTCAAAAGTAGTTCTACAAGAATTCATGGGTGGTTAAGGATACCGTATTACCCAGAGCCCAGTGAGAAGGCTCTCAAAAAGATTATGTGTACAATATAGAGACAGATCATGTGAGGGCCCGTCAACACTGTTTTGGCCCCAGATGTCTGTGCTATGCTGTGAAGAGCTAGCCCAAAGAAGGAAGGAAGAAAAAGAAAGAAATTAAAAAACAGACATACCCCACGCTAACTGAAGCGGTACTACACTTTGAGAACCAATGGTATCGAGCAGAAACCTACTTTAAAGCACAGTATTTACACCCTTACATCTCCCAATTATAAAAAGCCCTGCAGTTTACAATACAGTCCAGTGAGCTGAAGCACTGAAGCAGGCCTTTGTAGAGAGCAGATCAAACTGAAAGGCAGCGGCTGGACAGGGGCTGGCAGTCAGGAGGAGACTTCCAAAGAACACTTGTTGCCACTTTTGAAAGGCTGAGGAGAAAATGTCGCGCACTAGAAAATAACCCCCAACGGCAAGAAAGCCAACTCCTTTCTTATCTGTGACAGTGACTGCACCGACTCAACACAAAGAGGTAAACCCAGGGCACAGCGCCGAGCAGAGCGAGCAGCACAATCTAAAAGAGGCCGAGCTGAAGTAGAAGTAGTACTCATAATAGTAGTCTTCAATTTGTTCTAGACGTCAAAGGAGACCAATACTGGTATCAGTGATATCAGAGGGCCCTGATATTTAGCTGATATTTGGCACTGATATTCAACAACTTTGTCTATGAACATATTAAATGGAAGAGAAGAGCAATTACACAAATAATCCACACATTTTGTTAGGTTTTACAAAGTGAAATGATCATTTGTGAACTTTACTATAATGTAAATACATATATACATATACTTGGGCCTTGTTATGGATTTTATAATCGTAATATTAGTTGTTAGCCCAAGCAACTAGAAAATTATTGGATATCGCCTCCAAAAATTTATATCAGACCATCCCAAATATAAGTAGTAGTTGAGTAGTTGAGAATCTCAATATGACTGCTGCACCTGAAAAAAGTAAACTGAGAACAGAGCGTGACAAATATATGAAGGAAATAGCAGCAGCAGTAGTAGTAGTAGTAGTAGTAGTAGTAGTTGCAGGAGAAAGAAGAAATAGTAGAGCATAAGTAGTTAATATTCCCTGAGTTAATCGAAGTCTCCAACCATTACTGCTGCATCTGCAAAAGAAAAGAGGAAAGAGACAGAGCTAGAGGCTGGGTACAATGGTAACAGATGGACACCAGAACACAGCATGAATTGTGACTTGATAGCAATAGACTGAAGAAGAGATGATGTTGCTCTTGACAATGAGAGAGAACAAATAGAACAAATGCAGAAGACGTATGATAGAAAAATACTAGTTATTATGTAGACTTCGAATCAGCACCTGTGGAAAAAAGAGACCCCAGCATGCATATAGTGCCATGCCTAGAAAAGCCCAATCAATCACAAGTCCTGGAGCAGAGGGGTGTGTCCATGGTCCCGCCCTCTGTACAGGTAAAACCACAGTGATTGGAAAGATGCTGAAGTTATAATGCATAAGAGGGAGGATAAAGGGTGCAGGTAAAGGCCTTAGTGGAGATTTTCACATGAGTCACCATCACCAAAATTAACAAATAAAGTCCTCTAAAAAAATCCCAAAGCAAAGTGGATTAGAAATTTTGAATAATTTACTCAATAATAATTTAGCATAAATATTCCATCCAGGAAAGTACAACACATACTACTAAAATAAAATATAAGCATGTGAATTCTGTAGGTAGTGCGCCCTTCAACCTACACAAATTAAATCAATAGTACTTCACATGTAATGAAAATGAACTGATTGAGAACCATGAGATAGATTTATCGGCACAAGCTTTTTGACAGCAAATATCTCCAGCCTTTCCTTCACTATCTGTTAAATTGTCAAAGCAATTCTAAGTGAATGAAGTCAGTCGTTTCCATAGCGACAATCAAATACGGGGCGCTCCAGGTCATGTGACCTTAAATCAGCTCGTGGCCTGTCATTGTTAATATTCCTATTGTGCTCCACGGTGCCCACAATGTGCCCTACGCCTCTTTAAATCTCTCTGCGCCGAATTTTAATTTTTATTGGAAATCGCAGGGAAGGCTAAGGTGTTTGGAGCCAGATAAAGGTACAATATGGCCCAGGGCGACGATACACTGTGGAGGCCTCCACTAAGGGCTGACCTCCTGTTTGCAGTGGGGTGGGCGTCAAGTGCTTATCTAACACCCACTGCTCCCCATGTGAAAATCTCCACAGCCACTGGTGCGTCACTCTGCAGATGAAGAAAAGGTCTTTTTGTTGTGAGCAGTGCAAATTTCAGAGACAGAAAGAGCAGAAAAGTATGTGTGTGTCTGTGTGTGTTTGGATACAGTTTGCGTGTGTGGTCTCAAAGTTGTATTTTTAGTATAAGAGGGAGAGGGTGAGGGTTAGAGAAGAAGCTGATGGGTGGGGTGTGAATGGGGTGAGGGGCAGGGGGAGGAGGGGCGGGGGTGACGAGGGGCAGTACTCACTGTAGGGGACGCACTCGTACTGGATCTCCAAATACTTGTAGGTTCCAGGGCAAGGGTCTGGGAACACGTCCGAGCCCGCTACCACCACACACTGTGTGCGGTTGTTACATCTATTTGGACAAAACAGAAAAGTTAAAGTGTTAGTAATATTAAACATATAAGAACAAAAAGATATTCTGTAATGAAATATATGTCTTCCCAACTTTGGTAATTGCAAATTTACATTCTCAAATCAACCCAAACAGTAGTTAATCTATTAGTAAAAGGGTCTGAAATTTGTGCTTTTTTTTTTTTTTTTTGTAATACTGAATAATGGGTAATGCGCATACCTACATTAGTGTTATCAGAATTAAATGTTATTAATACAACCATTTTGATTTCAACCCTAAACATTTCAACAATAATATACTGATCATTTATTTCTGATTAAAGTTTAAGCACCTGCCCGATCAATCACACTGTAACTCCAATACACTAAGACGACTGTAAAACTTCCCAGGAGAAAAGCAATATTTTTACAGTGTAAGAAAGATGAAGTGGGGTGCAAAAAACATCTCCAGGCTCTGAAAGACAAAAAGAACGGTTGGGGAAGGGAGTAATTTCACACTAGACTAGATCATGTGACAGATGCACCCGCGGGGAGGAGGAGATAGAGATGGAGGAGAGGGGATGGAGAGGTGAGGGAGGGAGAGAGAGGGGAGAGAGAGAGGGGAGGGAGGGTGTGTGCGTGTGGGGTAGGGCAACTGAGAGGGAGCGTGACGTCATCCGCTCCTCTCTGGGGGAACAGCGAGTGGGAGCAATTATAGGTGAGAGAACAAGGAAGGACACAAGCAAATACTCGGGGAAAAAAATTGTATGTACATAATACTATCATGACAATCCCATATGCCTGCTCACGTTTACACAAAGATTCACACACATGCACACTTATTCTCATCAGCCCCTCAGCTCTTAGCATTTCCCCCTGCTCTCAGCTCCGTCATCAAATCATCTCCAGCAATCTCTCCTCTACTCTTCCTCTTCCCTTTCAATTCGCCAAACACCTCCCACTACCTCTTCTCTCCTGCATGTCAGCTGCATCCTTTCTGGCCAAGCTAGCGCCCAGCCTCCATTACACATGTGATGGATAGTGAGGAGAAGGCTGCCATTGATCTAGCAAGCAGATGCCTGGTGCAAACATAAAGATGGGCCCTTGCAAATACAAGCAATGGAAAAACGTGCGCGTTATCTGGGGCTGAGATTGCTTACAGTATTCTGTTCTGTATTCATGTATTCAACACCTTTACAAATAATGCTGAGAGTAAGGTTTCCTGGTTTGAAGAAAGGCTTTAGTTGTGCATAAACATGTTCAGATCCATGTGTGCTTACCTCTGGGACATGATCTTAAAGGCATCAGGCAGGTAGCATTGTGTGTTCTCCATCTGGAAAGGGTCGGCGTCACAGATCTTGTCGTCCGTGCGTCCATAGTTGGCCGTCTCGATCATGATGACATCACTCCCGGGGCAGCGCAGCTCGATAGGGTAGCCTTCACATGCCAGCTCGCGTCGCATTAGGCCGAAGGGCATCATTGACCGGCTCAGAGCTGGAGTGGAAAGAGGGGGAGAGGGAGAGACACGGTTATTGATCATTCAATATACCTTGATACTTTCAGGAGACACTTTATTATTAAACCACATTGTAAACATAGAGTAGTATTCAGTGAGAGACAAACATGAAAATGGTTTGTGTGTAAAAGACAAATCTCCACATATCATTGTTGTAGTGCACTTTTATATTTGAACCTCACAGATTGCATAGTGGCATGAGGAATTTGCCGCCATACCAGCTTCTCCAGATAGAATGTGTGTGACTTGTGAAACAAACTGCGATTTTGAAATGTTAACAAACTCCTCCACACAGACGGCAGGCATCAGCATATAGCCACGCTCACACCAGGACTGCGTGTCCCTCGCAGTCTTCTTAAGTCTCCTGTTGCCACAGTGAGGTGTTGGTACACTGTGTTTTAGGGCTCACTCTGCATAAAGAATTACTGCTCAAACACAGCAAACAACCAAGAGAGTAAAGGCACAGCTCAGGCTGACCTCTGTGTCCACACCTTTTACTGTTAATTAGCTGTCTGTGAGGCGGCTGATGGACTGTGGCCAGATGTACGCTCTGTGTGGAGGGGTCAGGAGGGACAATGGAGCATTCAGGGTTAATCACGGAGCCAAGCACACAGGCATGAGAGAGGAGGCCCAGAGGTGAGGGAGAGCCACTTACCGTCTTTATAAACACTGCACAGTCCTCGTGCCACTATTTAGTCATATTAAAAGTTTACAGGAGGAAAACTGAACCAAAAAAAGCCTTGTGTTTATCTGACAGAGCACCCACACACACACTAGAGTCTAGCAGCTCCTCCACAGCCCAGGTGGAGGCCTGCGGTCTAGATGGGTGAGTGATCTGCCTGTGAAGTTCTAGTTGAAGGATGGCCAGAGATGCTTTGTGCTGCGACTTCTGCCAGCCTCAGTGTAAGCAGTGCTGCTGTCCGTGGTGCTGAACTTTGGGTACACATAGTACTGGAGTGTTATCAGACAAAAGGAATATGATGAGAGGAGCTGTCCGCGGCACTGAAAGGGCAGAGGCGTTTTTCCACTTTAAGCACATGGCAGTGTGGCTAAAGGTGGCCATACTGTCTAGGCTAAACAATGCAGTTAAACTTGCCCACAGCTCAGAGCTCTTTGTGAGCACAGTTCCTCCTGACAGACAAGCTCTGACTCAGCCTCTGTTGGCGCTCAAACGTGCAGAGCAGTGCTGTTTTCGGCCCTGATACTGCACTAGCATTAGCGTTAGCACTAGCACAGCTAAGGTTTCAGCCCCGTCCACTCAGGAGCACGGCCCATCTGCCTCAATGTCAGCGTCAGTCATCCCAGACAAGCTCCGCAGTAGCTACATGACTCACTGCCTCAGAGTAGCTCACATTTCCAAATGCCACTCTTTTCTACAGCTGGGCCTGGACTTCTGTTGTGTAACTAACGACATTAAGGCTGAACTGCACATGTTTTATGCCTCGCCAGCACGCGGTGTCAGAGCCAAATCACAAAGGCCTAGATACAAACACGTACACTAATTAAAACACAGAGACACACAAACAGTAGGCGAGGCGAGACCCAAAAAGGGTGTATATGACAGGTTACTACTCATTTCACTAAAACATACCATCATTATATTTAAGATTTACCTTTGCCTATATATTGTTTTTATTTATTTATTTATTAATTTATTTTTGTTGAGGTTTATGAGATATAAGTAGAGGTAACTGTTACCTGTAAAATAATGCTCACAAGCCTCAAAGCATGTCTAAGTTACACAATAGTTATGATTTGACCAATGAAAATAGATGGCAACACCCTTTTAACAGTCCTGCATTTTGGATGGAATTTTCCACGATTACACAGATACAGGAATTCTGTTTTAGAACTCAGCACTTCTTCCTGTATTTTTGTACTTTTTTTTTCCATAAACTGTCACTTGACTGATGTAAGACTACTGAATGTTTACCGCAGTCACTATCTCACCAAACAAAGGAATGATTAGAAAAACCTGTCACTGCTCCTCTCTCTCTCTCTGTGTCTTTCTCTCTCTGTCTGTCTGTCTGTCTTTCTCTCTCTCTTTCTTCATCTCTCGCCATCTCTCTCTCTCTGCCTCTTTGTCTGTCTCTCACTCTCTGTTCCTCTCTCCCCCTCTGTCTCTCTCTCTCACTCTTTCTCTCTGTCTTTCTGCCTTTCTGCCTCTCTCTCTCTCCCTGCCTCCCTCTGTACCTCTCTCCCCCTCCCTCACTCTCTGGAGGCACAGTGGGCCTGCAGACCTGTACCAGTGTGGGGCCGTGTTCCTTTGCATCTCCTGCAGTGTGGAGTACACCGTGGCGTACAGCTGGACAGTCATTAGACCCATAGTGAGTCAAGAGGAACGTAAAACAGAAAGAGGCCACTAGGAGCAATGGCATTCGCTTCACTAAGACTGTGGATCAACACAACAGGAACATTAGCCCCCACTGCAGGAGGTAGATTACAAGTTACACACACTTTACATACCCCATGATAAACAGTCTGGGATCTGGAGGGTTATTCCCCACAACGCAACTAAGCCCTAACACAAATACCCATTATAGAGCAAACCCGCTATTAGACTGCGATAAAAAGTGGCTATTTTTAAAGGTACTTTTGGATTCATTCCAGGCAAAGAAGGGCATCTGGCTCAAAATGTCAAATCAAGGTCCATATTACCAACTCATAAACTAGTAATAGGCCTATGTTGTATGTTGTTTAGTGGTTGGATGTTCAGTGGATATTGGATCCCAGCTTCAACGTAACAAATGCTAATGTTGTGTCCTTGAGAAAACACTTCACTCACCTACCAAACTTATGTATAAAAAGTAATAATTTAGCTACTCTTTATCTTATCTTTTCTTGCACTGAAGTAACCTACCGTATGGTCAGAATATAGCCGGTGCACTGAAGGACTACAGCAGAAACCATGATAACAAGCCTATCCGGTGGAACTGCAAATCTGCCATACACTATCATGTTTCACACCTACACAGTTCACACTTGCAGCCCACTGTTTGACAAGTCCCAGGTTTAAGGCACATTTCACACTGTAAATGCAACAGAACGCACCTCTCAGAGTCATTTAGGCTGGAATTTTTTGAATGGTATTTTCAAGCAAACAAGTGCAAAAGTCGATTTGAGAGAGTGACGGAGTGTCTTTCCTGCTCCATGTGAACGCGGTTGTGCAGAGCCAGATGGCCCGGGGCCTAGCTGGAGCTGTGGCTGGCTCTGAGCGGGGCTTAGATGAGATGAGCGGGGGGATAAGCTTGGACTGGCCATGGGCTACGACTGTCCTTCACTCCCCAGGAATCCATTAAGGTTTCAGGGTCTCACTGCAGCCAAAAGACACCGCTGTACCCATGTGGCCATTTAGGACCAGCCCGTCACTCTCCCACTGTAATAGCTGGATGACAGATGCCTTCCCAGCAGCAGGCATATGTATAGGTGGATCTGATAACCTGACGTGCGGCTATGACTCATTCACTGCGCTATATAAATCTACAATTGTTTCTATATAATCCAAGGGGGAAAACAATTGTCACGTCAATCATCAACTTCACTAATGGCACAAGCACTCAGAAGGGAATGGAAATATTGTACTGTGCAGATTATTATTTAAACACGATGAGTACGTAGCCTGTATACAGTACAAGTCAATGCTAGTAATAAACATAACTAATAAAACTAATAATATAAACAATAATTTATACAAGAAGACATACACAGTAATTCAATAAGTTGTATCAATTTACAGGGATAAAGTCTAAGAAGCAATTTGCTGTATTAGTGTGATTGTTTACTTCATGGAGACAAGGTGACTCTACCACAGGTCAAATCTTTGAAGAGGTGATCCAACTCTCAGTAAAGTTTAATGCTTTTATAAGGTATCCTAAGGCTAACAACTTTAATTGGATAAAAGCAAGATAGGAGAGTTTAATACAAAGTAATAACATCTTCATGGAGTTAAGAAGGTGGTAGGCCCTTCACCAGAAAAGTTGTAGCACATCTTTTCTGTATCACTATAGGGATGTCCTATATATAGACTCATTACAGTAATTCCAGTGATAAATGGGCATTTTCCATACTTTGAAAACTTTTATATTGCATTATGGCTTCGGTAGCCTCACAGTGTATCCTCTGCTTTTGATGGAGAGACTGTTTAGAATGAGGACGTGGGCTGGAGTCAGTGCGCAGGGCTGAGGTGCACGGCTTCATAATGGGAGCTCTGTACAAATTAAGAGGAAGAGAGAGAGAACCTGATTGGATTTGACTCATTATCCTCACTCAGTAATTAAAGCCTGGGGCTGGAGGGAAGCTTGGGCCATTTTACAGATGCACTGATTTGTACACACTTTTTTCTCCTTCAAACTGCCATGGATATGAAATGTGTTGTAAGCATTATTACAAATTTATAGGTGAAGCAGTTAACACCCACAGATGGTGACTAAGATAATAGAAAAGTAAAGCCTCAATTTGCATTTAGAGTTTGTAAGTTTTATTGATACCCGTGATTACACAGGTCACAATATACAGAAGAATGTTAAACAGAAAAGAAAAAAAAGACTTACATTTTATCTATACTCAAAATAAAGCTATTCTTTAGGCTGTTAATGTATTTTTTCCCATCTTTTCCATCTGAAAGCTTGGTTATATAAAGCTACTTGCATAGTGGAATTGTGTTCTATAAGTGTTAGTAGATTTAATAATCTTTTGATCTCGGGGCTGTTTCTCCTCACAATAATCATATATAATCCGATATTGTGGCAGCCCTATTTGCATTTGAAGACCATTTAAAGTGAACATTTTAATATTCTGCCAAGTTCCTAGCATAAAAGCAAACACACTTTCATTTCAGATACAGCACTGCACTGAACAGCACCAATTTCTGAGTCTTCAACAGCTTGACCTTGGACTGCGTTATCACTGCCTTTGAATTCGCCACGTGTTTGTTTGCCAGGAAATAAGTGCAGAGGAGCTGGCCTTGCAGGTAACCAGA